AGTCAAGGGTATTTTTAGTAAAAGTCACGGACTGTAAACAAAAATTCAGGGCCCGTGACCTGTCCACGACTTGTACTATATACCCCTGACTAAATCTTGGTGGGGGTGGCAGCCCAGGGGCACCGCAGGTGGTGATGTGGGGGCGGCCTGGGATCCCCGCTGGTGCTGGGGGGAGTGGCCTGGGACCCCCGCTGATGTGGGGGGTGGATGGTGGCACGCAGTCTGGGACCCCCACTGGTGCCGGGGGGTGCAGTTGGCAGGGCTGGCAGGCTCTTTACCTGGCTCCGTGCCTCCCCGGAAGCAGCGACATCTCTCTCCCTCAGCTCCTAGGTGGAGATGTGGCCAGGCACTTCTATGCGCTGCCTTCACCCAGAGTGCCGGCTCCACATCTCCCATAGGCTGGGAACCATGGCCAATGTGAGCTGTGGGGGCAGTACCTACAGGTGGAGGTAGTGTGCAGAGCCCCTTGGCCACGCCTCCACTTAGGAGCTGAGGCAGGGGGATGTTGCCGCTTCCTGGGAGCCCCTCCAGGTAAGCACCTCCCAGAGCCCTCACCCCATACCGCACCCCAAATCCCAGCCCTGAGCCCCTTCCCACACTCAAACTCCTGCTGCTGCTGGGAGGCGTGGTGGCCCAAGATTGCCCCAGCAGCGGTTGGTGAGGCTGGCCCTGGGGCTGCCCCAGCTGCTTGGGCAGCCCTGGGGTCAGCCGCACCAGGCACTGGAGAAGTCACGGAGGTCACAGAAAGTCACGGAATCCATGACTTCCGTGATCTCCATGACAACCTCACAGCCTTACCTATACTTAACATTCCATATGTGTTCCAATCTAAACAATATTTTCAGTCTTATATTTTTTTTTGGTCTTTTAACTCTTGGGCTGAAATCTGGCTGTTTTGTTCTGTCTAAGGATTACTTTTTTAAAAAAAGTAATAATGTTTCAGCCATTTTTGAGAATGGAAATGGAAATTTTCATATATGAAAGTTGTATTTTTTTCTCTTTGCCTCCCATTCTCAAAAATGGCTGAACCGGTTTTACTTATTTTTTTAAAAACAGTAGTCCTTGGACTGAGAACAAACCATTCAAAGATAAAAAACCAAATATATAATAAGACTGAAAATAAAATGGAGCACTTATGCAATGTTAACTATAGGTCTCACTATACACTCTGTCTGTAACTAAAACCCTGCAAATTCACAGATATCCACTTTATATCTGCAGATATTCGCATCTGCAGATGTGAACCATTTTTGCTGATTGGTGATGGATGGATGCGGATCCAAATTTTATAGCTAAGGCCCTACAAATTTTGTATCCATACAGGGCTCTATCTGTAACGTATAGAAAAAAACCTATGGTTGAGATTTTCAAAGCCAACTAGTGGACTTTACAAAACTCCCGTTAACTTCAATATGACTTATGTGGCTAAGTTCCCTAGTCAGCTTTGAAATTGTCAACCTTTATGAAATATATGTATGTGCATATATATAAGTGTTTACATACATATGTGTGTAACTATTACACACTATTTGTCCCTCATCAATAAGTACACAAAGAAAAATCTATGATCCATTAGACTTGGCAATCCCTTTAAATAAAATGAATACTTATCTTTATATATCATATTTATCTTTTCCCTCTAGTTTCCTGAATTGGCTAAAGCTGTTTTTATACTTGCATTCATATTTGCAGTATTGACTAGCCTTCCATTTCTGTTCCCTGGACATCCTAGCACTGACTGAATTAAATATGAAGCAAAAAAAGGAGAGAACAGTTTTGTGAGGAAAAAAATACAAGTTGACCTTGAAGGGAAAACCACCAGCAGTACATGAGCTTTTGCCTTGCTGAAAATCTGTACCTTTTTACTTCACTCTTTTATGTTGCATCATAGGAAGCAGATTTGGACTATTGATTATCATACATTATAAGCTGCTCACCCTCACCATTAGCCTGTAATTTTGACTGCTGCTGCTAGAAGACAGTGAAGAAAATCGAACAGCCACTTTTGTACCAGCAGCAGAAACTATAAACACAAAGTGAACTATCACCACCAAGGGCCAAATTAGTATTTATGAGAAAACAGAATCAATTTAAAGGTAAAAATAAATATATATAAAATAGGTTATATGCAGCATTGTACAGCAAGATGCACTGGAAGGGTGATATGCACTGTTGGTCTTTATCTCTACTTGTCTACCTCTTGTTGAAAATAAACCCTTAACAGTCCAAGTGTGTACAATAAACAGCAGCAGCCTGGAGACTTTCCTCAGTCTCTGGAGCTTTAAGGGTAAACAATCAGAAGTGCTTTATGCACTTCAGGGAGAACAAATCCTAAAATAGACCTGCTAAATTATCAACCATAGAAAGAAAAGGAAACAAGCTACCTGGCAAATGATAGTAACCTAGATTGGAAATCTGTAGCAGAAAGAGCTAAGATAGCCCAGGATGAAGTCATGCTGGCAAAATGTAGACTGTACAATGCAAGATATATATTTGATCAAAATATGCTACATCTACAACAAAAAACAATGCAAAAAATGGTCATTTGAGCTAATCTTAAAATGAAAGATGCATTTCTGTGGTTCTTTCTCTAATTCCTTACTCTTTCCTCACAGTCCTCATAAAACAGAATAAAATAAAAATGGTGCCACAGTTCTTTTTACAGCACAAATACACTGCATTACCATGATAACTAATTAGTGGGTTCATATTGCTGACTTCTTTCATATGGCTAAAAAAATGGGAAATCATAATTTGACTCATTAACTCTTAAGTGTCTTCTTAATTATCACAAGGTGAATTTAATAGAATTAAAGTTTTTTGCTTCTAACAATGTATAGCTAACCTAACTTCACAAATACTACTTCACTTTAATTGGCTCTTAGATGTTTATTTTAAATTACTTTAAAAATAAAAGACCAAACATAAAAAACAACTGCCAAGAAGCATCTTATATGATATGTTTATAATTTCCAGGTCACTACAGTTTGTGTCAAATTACTGTACATAATGTAATAGTATATGTTCATGTTTCTGTGTTTATGTGTGTAAGCTGACTTCACTTACATATAAGAAATTATATAAAATCAAACAAAACCAAACCACAATTCCCTAAACTCACACCTGAGTGAGGCAAACGTGATTTGGCCCATTATGCCTTATATTGGCTGACTTGGTAAATGATAGCTCATGTGCATTCTTTGCATAAAATTTCATTCTCGTGGCATTTAGCATGTGTAGCTACCCATCACCATATAGGCATGTAACAGGACTATAAAAAAACACAGAAAAATAGATCTGTAACACTACAGATTACATTTACATATTGGATAAGTAAAGAAAGAACACTTACTTTCTAACATTTGTGGGCAGTGAATTAAAATGTCAATAATTTTGTTATGCATATGTTGTTACAGTCTTGGTGGATACTAGCATATGCTCATCAGTTTTACATATTTATATGCTTTATTCTTTTTCCTCTTCTTTCAAATAACAGCTGATCTCCTGGACACCTGGAGGGAAAACTTGGCACCACCAAAATCAATGAACGTTTTGCCATTGACTTTCATAGAGCCAAGATTTCACCACTGTTTCCTATCCTTTCTGGATACTGCCACATTCTAATCTACCTGTTTTACCTTGTTCACCTTTATAAATGCTAAAGGTAAAAAAAAAGATCCAATCCTACAAATCCTTAGTGGTATGCACAGTCCAGCTGAAGTCAATGATACTGCTCTTGTGAGCAGGGCTATTCAAATGAGAAAGGGTTTACAGGACTGGGCCCAAAGTTTATATCTACCTGTTCTTAAAGCATGTGGCTTTAGATAATGCTATTACAGTCCACCTCTTGCTTGTGAAATGTTCTCTTTTCTACTTCATTACACAGTAAACAATGTGTTTTCTGAGCTTTATTACCTATTAAGGGGGGAAAGATTTGCCTTTGGGTGCATGCACAAAGTTCACATGGACTTTCCTAGAAGCTGAACACTCTTGTTGCATACAAAATTATGCAAAGTGAAAAATCAGCATTTACTTTAGACCAATGGAATGCACTAACTTTTATACACTATTTTAACATTTTGACATACATATTAAATATTGAATGCCTATATTTATGTACACATATGTATAAATAGCTGAACACTTAACTGTATATATTTTCCCAAAAGAGACATCAATAACTCTCTCTTAACAACAACAGCTAGTAATTCCTGTAATTGGATTAGAAAACCTTCTAGAATTAATATGAAATTGTGTCTCACTTTTGATTTGAGGGAGACAATTACCTTTACTCAAAAATGTTGTAACCTGAAAGAACTATTTATCAGTAGGCATCTATTAGTGACAAAAATAATGGTTTCTCTGACATGCCCTAACACTAGGATTACATGACACTTCTGATGAGAACCATCAACTAAAGTACTACTTCTGAGGTTGGATTCCTGTTTAATTACAATTGCTTTTGACATAAATAAGCAGAGGTAAACAAACAGTTCTCTGCACATGCTTGCATTTATTAAACAGAGCTGTTTGCAATCTGCATATTTATATTGGCTTGTCTGTTTAAAGGCTTCCTTCAGTTAGGCAAAGCAATTTGCTTAGATTAGAAAGATGACTGACAGTAGAACCAAAATGGATTCCCATCTTTTTAAACCTCTTAACTCTTGTGGGCTTTTCTTTTGATATTACAACTATCAACACCTGAGGATTGTTACCTTTATACAGAGTTTCCCTCTGGTTTTCCTGGAAACAAGGTAAGGATATTTCTAACATTGATACTGCATAAAATGTTAGAAAGGCAATTAAAAGGTGGTGGGCCAGTAGATTTAGTCCTAGTTCATCACTGCTGTGTTAGTCCATAAACATTTCAAAAATATTGCAGGGCTGAGAGGATGATTACATACAGTACATTAAAGTATGCTTTGAAATCTGTGAAAGAGTTAGTGTCAGTCTTACATATTTTTAGAGGCAGTGCAAATATAAGAAAATGTACTTGTTACCTGAAAATTTTCCTTCCTCACAGCGGGCTGGTCCACAGATCCCAACAATGGGTCTTTGGCCTCTGCCTAGCTGTTCTGGAGGCAAACCAGATCTGTGAGTCACAGACAGAGATAGGCTCCACTTCCCCAAAGCCCACAAATGTGAACACTTCCTCAGCAGAAAAAATACTGTCTAAACCAGAGGGGGGTAAAACATGTGGTCCTGGCACCACTAGTGGCCCTTGAGAACCTAAACTGTGTTCCCTTGAGGGTGACGGCGTTAATAAGAATATTTATACTTGACTGAATTGATAGTGTGTTCCCGGAGACATATCCTGTAATTTGTCAGTTGAAGAGCTTAAATCAGGCCTCCTACTCTGCAGTGGGGGGCAAGGGGATCAGTTTCTCATTTAGCTCCAGGAACAGCTCTGATAGCTCACCACCTGCTGCATCAGAGGGAAGGGAAGAGAGAGTCTTTCTGGATGCTCCATGGTACCTGCTTCCCTACCAGGGTTTGGGAGCCCCAAGTGAGCAGGATAGGAGGTCAAGTGGTTCTGTCTGAGCCTAGGGAAGTGTTTAGAAAAGGACATATCCCCTTCTTCACACAGGACAGCTCAAGAAAAGGGAAAAAAGAAATAGAAAACGAGCAACCAGTTTTGGCTCCCTAGTTCTCTGCCTCTGAACCAACCCTGAGAGGGGCTGGAGTCTGCTTTAATTTGCTCACCAATGGACCAAATGCCAGCTGTGGATAGACAGCACAGCATACTCTGGCTCTCCCCGATCCCACCACCAAAATACTCCCTTGAGCCAGGGCTGCAGGAAGGAAAATGTAAGAGCCAGCTATTCCAGCTCTATGCTTGCTGAGGAAATCTCCAGCAAGAGACTAGCTGGTGGTTTGCATTGCCCAAACAGTTGGCCTAAACTGATAAACTATTAGCGTTTAAACTGTGACTATAGTGACTCCTTGTTGTAGAGCCCAAGAGCTGTTTCCTGGAAAAGAAGAGAAATATGACTGCAGTAATTAATAGGACGGATCTGTGGATCTGTTAGAAAGGACATTTTCAGACTAACACATTTTTCTATTCTTTGTCAAAGGCAGGTCCGTAGATCATACAATGCGATTTTATCAACATTATTTCAATGAGATGGGAATGCTCCAGTTCAGAAATTTTACTGAATTTGTATAATTATTTACCAATAATTGATAAAATTCAAATTCTCTTTTGTGTTATGTTCATATCTATCTTTAGAAGCCCAGTCAAGATCAAGGCCCCATTGTGCTGGACACCATACAAACAAATAGTAATAGCCAGTCCCTGCTCCAAAGAATTTACAATTTAGTTAGAGAGAAGAGGCAACAAGTGACTATGAGAAATAAAAGCAAAGAATGAGGGAGGATAGACAAAGGTAATGAAAACATGATCAGACTCTTGATCCTTTCTGAACATACCAATTTTTTTTTAAATAAATAAACGTTGCTATCCCTTACAAACACATAACCAAGCACCAGTGGTTAGCTTTATATTACCACATGAACTATTGTTCATAAACTATCAATTAGCTTAACATACAGTCTTTACATCTATAGCTAGAAGAGGAGACTTTTGCTTTTTAAGCTGAGATACACCATCTTAAAAGTTTGGGGATGGCAGATATTTTTAAAGGCCATGTCTGACTGCTATGTGGCACTGGTGACATGGTGGCTTTCTGAAGGATTCTCTCTTGTTTATATACCCATTTTAACAGCCCTGCTGTCATTCAGAGTACATCATCACTTCTCTTTGGTTGTGATAGACTGAAGTCAGTAGGGTTCTGTGAGAATGGGTTTGCCTATTGCAGGATCAATACCTTAAAGTTTGTCAGTAGATACTCAATCCTTTATACATGGTAGACTATGATGAGGAGGCGTGGCATCCCTCAGAGATTGACAAGGAGGGACTACAACCCACCCCTTGGGTTGCAGAGCCAGGAGGGTCATGCCTGCCCTGCCGGAAGCTAAGGGGTAGGACAAGAAGCGGAAGTATAAAAGGCAGGTCCTGCAGCTTAGTTGGGCTGGAGCCACTGAGGGAGATAGATATCTGCATTCTGCTTCCTACTGGAGCCCGAAGAGGACTCCATACCAAGGACTTTCCAGAGCTGCCGGTCGACCAAGATGCCGAGGAGCTGCTGGGGATACTGCTGACCACCTACTGCAGGGAGATGGAGGACACCCATGGAATGAGGTACCCATCAAGGGGAAAGTAGGAAGTAGTCCATCAGAACTAAATGACAGTCTGGTTGGGCTTTTACCTGATACTAGGTCCGCGTGTTGCGGGAAGAGACCCGCTGACCTAGTTGTGGACCATTTCACCACTGTTAGGGCCCTGGGCTGAGACCCGGTCCCCTCATCCCCTGCCACTGGGGCAGCAGCCTCCACATTGTAGACCACGTGGACTGCATTTGTCTGCAGTCTGCCAAAGTCAGGATGCTTGACTGTTGCTGCTCTGTCCTGACTATAGGTCAGAGCCTCCTACTTGTTTGTTGACCCATCCTGCCAGAGGGCCTGCACTTATAAACTTCATTGCACTTGCCCTGACTGCTGTCCAGAGCCCCTCACTTGGTGGTGCCCCACACTGCCTAAGGGCCTGGGCACCTACACTTGGTGCTGCTTGGCCCAGGTCAGGTGGCCTCAGCTTTAAAGACAGCTAATTCCCCTCTGAGTGAGTGCTGTAACAAGGATGTGACTGTGAGGAGGCATGGCCTCCCTCAGAGATTGATAAAGAGGGTTGGCCATGCACCCTTACATAGACACAAATACAATCTGAATCCAGGACATATATCCTAATTTTAGCCACTTTTGGACCACCATGTTACCAAATGTGAAAAAAATTACCATTTCTCTCACATTTTTGCCATCAAGCACTAATGTTACATTTAAAAACTCTTTGCCTGCCAGGGAAAGATCATGTCTGTTCTCTACTGATAGGGGAAACCAACTGAATATCACTTTCTGTTTCAAAAGGTTAATATTATGCTGTCGTCATACACCTTAATCCTCATGGGAGGCTGAATGTTTTTCCATTCCTCCTGAAGGCCATCATTGCTACTTCTGCTTGCCAAGATTCAGCTATCAGATCATCACAAACCTCTCCCTCGCTACATAGTAGGCTGAGATCTCCGAGGAAACCTAACTTTGGATATGGATTTAGAGATGTTTTTGTAGGAAGGTGTAGGAAATGCCTCATGTGGGATTTGCCCTAGGTCGGATAACCAGCAGGGGACATTACTGTTTGAGTAATGGCACCATGGACTATGATTTTGCCAATTGCTGACTTTATGTTTTAGTGTATTATTAGTACCTTCAAGTCAGAGATTTCCTGGATGGAGTTCTCACTTATCCCAATTTATGAGGAAACCACATTCTTCTATGATTTTGAGTGTCACAAAAATATCATCCTTGGCTTTCTGCCTGAGTGATGCTCCATTACAAGATAATTCAAGAGAGAATAAATAAAGATGCCCCTTTGTCTGAAAGCTGCCTCTATGACTATGAGAACTTTGGCATAGACTACTGGGAACACAGAGAGATGCAGTTAGATTTTTTCCAGGTTCACAGTCAATAATAATTTTAAAAAATCACTAAGAGATTCTGTTTGAAGATGACTTTCAGAGTCTTCATGTTGAACTTTAATTTCTCCAGATGCCTGATCAAGAGCCTCAAGTTCCAGATTGTGCTGTTATTTTTTAATACTTTGAGGATCATAATTAAAATAGAATATAGACCTTAAAAATTCTCTGTTGGAGGAACTTTCTCGGTTCCTCTGATTTGCATGTGTTGAAATAAGCAGCTGAGTCACCTTGGTACCCATCACCTTTGAACTTGTATCTTCATCTGTTACAGAGATCTGCTTGAGTACTATGCCATAACAAAATGGCATTCTGTTTTACAGCAAGACTTGTAGTCTCTATGGGTTTTTTCCCCAAAGATTTTGCCATTACTCGTCCACAGGTTTCCCAAATAACCTCCCTGGATTTGGTTAGAAGCTACTTTGCCTGGCCATTAGCTTCCTACAATCTGAATCATATTCCTTTGAGAAACTGCATTACATACTACAGAACTGGTCAAGAAGCCAAAGGGCATCCACAGGCACAACCAAAATGGAAGTGCAATCGTTCTGAGAGATGTTGTCTACTACTTTATCCTCATGCTTTATTAAGGAGGAGCTACAGTAAGACATTCCACAGTCTAAAAAAACAGCTCAGGCAAAGCAGGTAGATGCTACTTCTGCCCTTAAGACTACTGAGGAAGCCTCATCATTTCTCTTAAAGATAAATCACACAATATGTCTGTCCATGAATTCCTTGGGACAAAATCTCCACTCCATAAATGATAGAGCCTTTCATTTAGGCAGACATGGGTGCAGACATTTAGAAAGATGACCAATCTAGTTGTAGACGTTAACATTATGAACTATCTTGGGCTATTCAGAGAGCCATTTTGGTTTCCTGAAGCCTTTTGCTTTAATTAATACAGAACTTCATATATGATTTCTACTAAACCTTAATTTGCTTTTGTTTTATATTAGACCTCTGCTCTTAGTCTTTCTGTGTGCATGGAAAGAAAAGGTGAGGGACTTCTGTGGGGTTTTTTGGCTCAGCTGTCTGAATCGTTTGGATCTTAGAATAAAATATAACAGGGATCCGAAACAACTGATCCCCAAAGGTTGTCTGATGGTTCTAAAAGTGACCAATGGACTTCTGAATAAGACATTGATTTGCTTTATTTTTCTTGTAATGAAAAATGTTGCTTTGACTATTAAGGGGCCAAAATGGATAAGTAGCACCACATGTAACTATACTTGTTGTCCTTCAGTAGGAAAAACCGCATAAGGAGTTAAGGAAGTAAAAAATTGTTCTTAAGAGAAAGAGAACTCTAATTTTTTTTTCTTTGTGCTACCTGCTACTGTACAGGTACATCACACACCATGCTTCATAGGTTTCAGGCATGTAATTTAGCTAAAATGATACAATGGCAGAGCTTTAAACTTATTTGTCAAGTTCTCAAGTGACTCTGTGCAGTTCCAGCTAAAGATGCATACAAAGCAGTTAATTTGCTA